GACAGAGTGGGGAGCAGAACAGGCAGATGGACGAAGTACATTGCTGAGGGGAGCAGCGGGCGGGTCAGGAGAGGTCTGCCACGCTATGTGGTCACCTCCAGGGCAGGCGGGAATCGAACTCATGCGGAAGTGGCTTTAGCTTCTTAGGTCAGTGCTTTAACCCACTGCGCCACCAGGGAGGGCCCTGTGTCTATATAATTTTTAAATTTTAAACACCCCACTATTACCTATTGATAGGTACTAACATCTAATAGAAACAATAAGATTAGCATTCATAACAAACAAACAATAATCAACAAGTTGATATTTTCTTAATAGTTCTTTCTCAGCTAGAGACTTTTAAGTCTGTTATTCAGATTCAGATTAAGAAACTGATTAAATAAAAAACTTAAATGGTGTTGAGATTAAAATGTGGCTCTACTAATTAAGAGACCAATGTGAGCTGCAATAGACATGATACAATAGGATTGAGAATCAGAAGACCTGTGTCTGAACCCTAATTCTCTCACTCTTAGTTCTTTGACCTGGGATGAAGAAAACAGCCTCTTTGATTATGTTGTGTTGCCCAAAAAAAGAGAATGACAATGACCTCTCTCGTAGTCTTAGGAAATAAACCTGATAAAGAATGTCAATGTATCTGTACACAAATTATTTTTAAGTTATTAGAAGAAGAGCTAGGAACCTCACAGAAACTTTATAACATTAACTAGTTAAGAAACAGAGATTTTGCTTGCTTATATTTGGGGGTCACTTTTACCCCACCCCTTACTTCTCCTTTAGATTATTATTTTTTAATTCAAACTATTTAAGAACAGTTTTAGGTTAACAAAATTAAGTTAGAAAATTAGAGGATTAAGATTTAGGGGTCCAATTAGATTTTCTTCATAAATTCAAGATGCTCAGAGGGACACAGATATGGTTTAACCATGAAGGAAAAATATGAATGATTCTTTTGATCTACAGCAAGCATTGCTCTATATTTGAGCTCTAGTGAACATGTTCTTTTGTTGGGTCTTTCTCTACTAAAATAAAGATTTGGGGCAATGTTTTCATTAAAATATGCAAGATAAATTAAGATTTGTGATACCTAAAATTTGCTGGGAGAGATCTTAAGTTAAGTGTTTCCACTACAAATAAATAAATAAAGGGTCTCCCGGGTGGTGCAAGGGATTAAGTCTCAGCACTATAAAGCAACCAGCACGAGTTCTATCCCCGGCCAGGGAGCTGACCCACACAGTGAAGCAGACCTCTCCTGTCCAGCCCACTGCTCCCCTCAGCAGTGTATTTCAGTCTATCTGCCTATTCTGCTCCCTACTCTGTCTCTGGTGAATCCTCTTACCCTGGCACCTCTGGCCTACACCCCAGACCTTGTATGAATGAATAAATAAATCTTTAAAAATAAATAAAAAGGATGTGGTGGTGAAGTAATGGCTATGTTAAGCTTGATTCTGATACTACTTTATAGTATGTAAAGCTATCAAAACATAATACTGTATAGTTTTAATGGTTTTTGTCAACAATCCAGTGTTTAGCCACTACCATAGCGACAGCTGCTGTAGATGGCTGGTCCAAGAAATGAGCTGGTCCCGGGCTGAAGGAAGGAAGAGTTCCCTCTTCATTTTTTAATCTTTGTAGTGCCATTATCTGATTCGAAGATCCCATGGCTAAAAAGACTCGAAGACTCCCATTCTGGTGGCCTGAGAACACATCAATCACAGGCATGTAGCTGTCGACAGCTACCACAGGGTACTGTGCATCAAGCAGCAGGCGAGAAATCTTGGGATCTCTAAGGGGAAGAGAAATTATGGATGAGTAAATAAAAGTCATCAATCATGTCATGTCATAGAGTTGCTTTGTTTATTACTTTTTTATTTTCTCAGTTTGTTAAAGATATATCTACAACTGGAAAAGTAATTGTGGTTTGAAAAAAAAATAACCCACAAAACCATTCTACCCAAGATCCATCAAACACAAATTACCAGGCAATACAGTTCATGTAGCATTTGAGAACAAGGAATGTATCTGATTTATCTCTTTATCATGAAGGACCTAAGTCTAGTGTCTGAGATTGAGAGTATCTCAGTAGGAGCTTGTTGAATTGCATTATTTTACAGCGAGGCAGTATGTGGTCAACTAGAAAAAGTATGGATTTTGGAGTTTTGCATCTAAGATTTGGATAATATTACCAATAACATTTGCTACCTACTAAGAATTTACTATATGATAGACACTTTTAGAGGGCTCTATAATCTTTCTATCACTGCAAAGGTTAATGTTATCCACTGTTAACAGTGAGAACAAGCCCCAATTCTTTCCATCATAACATATTGTATCTTACTTAGCTCTGTCATTTATTTGCTGTGTGACTCTAAATAATCAATTCAACCTTTCTATTTCCTCATTTGTAAAATCTAGGTAATAAACTTTTATAAAAGGGCTGCTGTAAGGACAAAACTGAGATAAATATAAAATAGCAACTAAGATGCCAAAGAGATGGTAAGCGCTTAGTATTAGTAGCTACCAGTTTTTTAAGCTTTCTCGGAAAAGAATGAGGTAGAGTGGAATAAGAACAGAAAGGGAACACTGGACCAGACTGACATCACAACTAAAAAATGGGTGAAAAGGCAAAAAGCTCACAAAGGCATCTGTGATCCCAGTAGAACTCTAGCCTGACCATGTTTTCAGTGTTAGCACTGTAAGTATTTAACTGCTCACAGAAGGCTTACCCATTCACTTTCTCACTAGATCCTCACACATGTTTCATCATCATATAATGATGAAAACAAAGTCAGGTTGAATATTTCATTTGTCCTTTAAAGGACAAGTTTCCTTACTTTTTTTTTTTTAAGGTTTATTTATTTGTACATACAGAACTGGGATACAGGCCAGAGGCTCAGGGGCGGCGAGAGGCTTCACCAGAGACAGAGTGGGGAGCAGAACAGGCAGATCTACGAAGTA